CCAAGTTGCACAAATGAGATCAGGCCATTTCTATACACCGAAAAGAAAACTGCGACCAAAATAGAGGTCACAACATCTTGGTCTTCATATGTAGCCATATTTCATTTCAAAATAAGTTATTCTCTTTGACATTGTAGCTCAAAGACTGGCCTATCTTTAACTAATCGCTGATAGATGATGAGTACCTGAAGTGATACAGCTGTCGCTAGAAATTCAAGGTGAACAGTTGGTGGAAGGTGACCACAGGTATCGCTGAATAAGTGGACTGAGTTTCAGCCTTCCACCCTACAGTCGTGGTAGCATAGAATGATATATCTGATCGGTGTTTCATACTGATGGGCAAAGAATGTGGAGAGAATAGAGTTGCGGGAGGATGAAAAAACATATGCAAGTAGAACATAGGTTGTCATGGCCTTCCAAAAGTGACATCAAGCATAAGGTTGCCGTATGAGAGAGAGAGAGAGTCTGATCATTTGAAAAAGAAAAAGGCCACAGATAAATAGAAGATCGGTTATGAAATATGTTTGACTAATCGCTTAGAAACTGGATGGGATACAGCTGTCATCTTGAGTTAGCAAACTTTCCTGGACGATCCAGAAGGTAATAGGCAATTGTATAAAGGTTAACATGCATGCGTTGAATGATACGACCCGTTATCGCAAAATGCTGTTTCTGGACTTCACAGGGGACAAAGCTACTCGTATTTATCAACTCGAGAATCTACCAGCTTTCTGTCAATTTAAGACTTGCAAAACTTGTCATCACTCTAAGTTCCCTTGAATAGTCCGCCTAGAAAGCTTTTAACCAATTTTAGCTAAACAAAACAAATGCGAATTTCCAAGTGCGGCACTTTTGCGGAATCGCTACTAGCCACGCACGGCTCGCAAATATAGCCGAATGTGTTATTCTTGTTGTGGAAACTTTCCATCTCCAGTCACATTATTAGGTTGTGCTTCAAAGTGAATTATGTCTCTTCCGCCAGAATAGCCCACTCCATCGTCACGGGGCGTCCTGCTGAGCCTGCATTGTTGAGGCTCATATCATGGAAAAATGTAAATTTTCTGCAATCCCCTTCCTTGACATAAATTATTGTTGAATCACATAACTTTTATAAAGTGCTCAAGACCCTTTTTGAGATGACAGAATTCATAATAAAATCCTATTTATATGAGAGGTATACGCCCTATTTTGTTTATGGTGAAAAAGTAATAAGGGTAGTTGAATTTTCACACAGTCTTCACGTTTCTATTGAATTTCACATATCCTTGCCGACCACACCAGAACTGCTCTCCTCAGCATCCCCATCGGGACTTGAACACGGATGGGTTAATGCTGCATATACTATCGACATGTAAATCACCACACCATCCTGCCACGAGTCCCCTTGGATAACTGGGCAGATGTGCATTTCAAGGAAGGCCAGACATTTTCATATAGCACATTTTGTGGTGGAATTATCGGCGAAGCAAAGTTGTATTTGATATTGCAATCTGCTACTTTTACTACTACTCATGAAAATATAATTGCATTTCGATGAATCTGATTATGTTGAAATCTTCGACATTATACCTCAATTCCAGCACGTGTGTGATGGCGATTGAAGCTCAAATGTTCTTAGGTTTCCTCAATATGGCG